ATATATATATATATATATATATATCTAAAACGACGAAAATCTAAAACGCTCGAAATCAATAAATCAATACACGGAAGCTTTTCGGTACGAGTCTAGTCCAAAGTTTAGTATTCTTTGCAATGCTGGAAAACACAGTACTTCTGCACGTTGTAATCACACACAACCATTTTAATCATTCTCTCGTCAAAGATATTCGATATATACACCAGCGACCGTGTGTCGTTGAATTAACGTACTATCAAATTAACTTCCTATCCTCGTCTCATAGAGGTTCTTCCGGAAAGAAATTAAGCGACACTGAATCGGGCAATAACCAGCGTTATGTTAGACGACAAACTTTAGAATAGCCTCACGGTGCTAACATCCTCTCAGAAACGGTTAAATCGTCCCTCTTCGTCGCCATATGTGGAAACTTCCACCATGTTCCAGGTCTCAACGTAATACGACCACTTAACTCGCAAGCTGTCTGACCCTCCTGAACAATCTTCCGCCATGACGTGCACCATGGCTCGTTTAATTGTCATACAACTCGCCCTAGACCGATCCAAGCCGGAAATTGTCCGAAGAATTGCCCTATTCGAACCTTTCGAACGATACCCCTCGTGTTCTTTCTTTAATCATTTCAAAGCGTAATTTATAAAGATTTGTAATGTTACCTTCAATGTTTCACACGGTTTTAGCGACATTCAATTTCACAGAGTTTCATTAACACTACATTGAATTACACGTAGATATATATTTCTAATTAATGAGCTATCAGCGTAAGATAACTTGTTATTTATCACTACCAAAATTACAATTGTTAGTAGTTAACAAAATTCAAAACTGACGATAAAATTTAATAACTTTGCTTTCAAAATTTAATATTGAATAACATGAAGTTGTAATTGTATAGAATTATTCATTTCAGGCTCTTCAGTTTTACTAAAAACTTGTAAGGTGTAACTTGCCAGTGGTCCTGACTTAATGACCAGGAATTGTGCTTCCCTTTTGGCAAGAATATATTTCATTGGTAACATAGAGATATGAATAAAACTGCCACGCCAATGAGAAAAATTCGATCGGGGCTCCCGTCTCCTGGTTGGTTATTTTAGTTATTAAACGTGCAAGTGAGATTTATTATGGTCGTTGATGTTCATTTTCGTGATTTATGTTCCGATTACATAGCTCCTCCGTCCAATGTGTTCTATTACATTGTTGTATAGCTTTTTCCTTTCTGTTGTTCATTCCGTTTTTTACTTCAATATGGAGCTAAATAACATATGATTGGAATTCTTTGCAATTCGACAGAGTTCTACGTACTGTATCAGTATAGGCAATTAAGGC